AAAAATTTTTTCGAAAAAATCCCTGGCCCCCCCCCCCCCCTCAGGGATGGTCTTCTCAATAATGACAATTTTTTCGATAACTCAGCCATTTCTTGACGGATTCTGCTCATCTTCGAACTCGACCGAGACATTGTTAAGACTGAACTGTGTGGAAAATTTCATTGCGATTGGACTCTCTTTTCAAAAGTTATCGTGTAAACGGCCGGCCGGACGGACATACTGACCGATTCTAGAGTGTACTCACTTTTTGAGTACACAAAAAGCTTCAAATACTGATTTTTGAAGTTTTTCTAAAAATATTTGAATTACATTGATATTATTCGACTTAATTATTCTCTCTCTCTGCTTGTTTTATCTTAAAGTTTTTCTGACATCATTTCATATATCAGATTTGCATCAATAAGTAAGAATGCATCTAATTTGAAGGTCGAGATTCAATCTTAGATATTGTCATTTATTGTTAATTAATAAAAGGAAGCAAAAATAAACCAAAAGACTATAATAGATCTACACATTGTGAAATAACGTAATCAAACTTAAAGCATTTTCATGACTATCCATATACATCACGAAATGTTTGAACAATTATCTAAATTTCCGACACTGTTTGAACTATTCGGATAATATCCGAACTTAAATCCAAATAAAAACCAAAGTTCGTATTCGGCGCATAGTTACTCATAAGAACAAGATATTGAATTTCGAAAAATAGTCCCTTGCCACATGTCGTAAAAATCGAATTCACGTGAAAATTTAATTACACTTATAATTTTTAATAGTATAATAATACATTCGAACTAAATAATGATATTCAATAGAATACATTATCTTAATAATTACCTTTGTTTAATAATATTTAAAGCTTTTGATGCTAATGTGAGCCATGATCCAGTAAATGTTTCAATATCTAAACGTAATTGAAGTAATTCTTCATATTTTTGTTGACCAAGTAAACCTAAATAATGAATTGATATTAAAAAATTCATATATCATTTTATTTTCTTTTTACTTTGTATATCCGTTCGATAATTATTATAAATATCTTTTATACGTCGATAACGAAATGCTAATTTTCTCATCCAATCAACTCCACCACGAACTGTTGTATTCACATTTGATGATGGTGAATTAAAACCATCAGTTGAAAAATTATAATTACTTAAAATAAAAACAACAAAAAATAAAACTATTAAAATAATTATTTTAATCAAAGAAAAAAAATACTTTAATTCTTGTCCATTATCATCTGATGATGTATCATCAATATGTACTTGATCACATTCTTCAAGATCATTAAAAAATAAATGTGTATCAGCTAAATTATATATTATTTCTTCCATACGTAAACCAAGATTCATTGCTGTTTGAGGATCCTTAAAAATAAAATAAATTGAAATTTAAAAAAAAAAAAAAAATTTTTTTTTTTCATCTACTTTTTGATCACGTTGAGCATAACTTCCAGTTAATAATGAATGTAATATAATAATTGTTTCATCTAAATCCCATATAAAAATTCGTTCAATATTATTATCTAAATCAGGTGATAATTGTTGAATTTTATTTCTATTTCGATTTGTTTTAGATTTTGATGTTGAACAAATTTTTCCATCAGTTTTTATTGATGGTGATGGAGAATTCGATGTACTTGGATTTGAATGATCTAGATAAGAATAAATTTTATAGTTGAAAATTTGTTTTTTTTTTTTTTTCTTTACCAAGAATTGATAATGGAATTGATTCATTTTGATATTCTTCCGAAGGTTTTAATGAACTTGTTAATTGATTTGTTGCATTAAGATTATATGGTGAAGGATATGCCGATGATGGATAATATGGATAACTAAAAGATGGTGGAAATTGATGATAATAAGTTGTATCAAAAGCCTTCAAAAAAAAAAAAAATTTTTTTATTTTTTTTTTGTTCTTCTTAAATCATACCGGTTGAGTACTATATGGTGATACACCAGATGAAGTACTAACTGATGAAGTACCAGTTGTTGAATAACCTAATTCAAATTTTTTCTTAAAAAATAAAACTATAACAAGAAAACTTACTTTCAGGTAATGAATATTGAAAATTCAAACCTGAACAACCATTAGGTGTTGTATTGTAATAAGGAGGAATATTGACATAACCCGGCGATGAAAATGAATAGCTCGCCATCAATAATTGACTAAAATAAGAAATAAAAATTTTTTTAGACTATTTTGCTTTTTACATAAAACTATATTTGTTCGAAATAATTATTATGTCTATTTTAAAACGTAGGAATATACTTCACAATGAAGATGTACAGGTACAAAGATAATACCTCTTCATAGATCAAGTTGGTCCTTTCGAAAGACAAAAATCTGGATAAAACACTGACATGTACATCTCTAACATGATACTTTTTATCACTTTTGGAATCTTTCAATCATGATAGCATTAAGAAGAAGAGAGAGATTAGAATTTCGTAGAGTAAAAATGTGAAAAATTTTTTTTTCTCAGTTAGAGTATGGAAAAAAAAACTTACGTCTACACCTCACAAAAACTAGAAATTGAAGACTCGATAAATAATATTAATTCTTAGAAGTGTTGATATTTTTGCTTTTGAATAAATCAATACACTCTATGATATGATGTGTTTAATAGACTATCTATTTGTTATAGGTAATGAATATAATTTATACTTCTTATTCTAATAATAAAAAACGAAATTTAAACAATTTTCATATCATATCCATTTTTGAATAATCATTATAATTATAATAAGAATTCCTACCTTTTTTAATGTAATTTTAAACATTATACACATACGCATATATGATTTTCTATAATCATAATAATAATAAAAAGTCAAAGCTCTAACATCATATTTCATTCTAGACGTGACGACTATGTTTTATATTAAAAAAAGAAAAAAAAGAGAGAAAAACACTATCTGTTTAGGATCTGATTACTTATACACGAGTGAAATCTTACCTCTATTCCTTCTGTAAGGTAAAGCTAGCAAGCAAACACTCACGCTTGAAAAGAGAAAGGTGATGCCTTTTAATCAGGTATGTAAGCGACAAAAGCGAGAAAGAGACAGAGAAAGAAAAAAAAAAGCATCATGCTCTCTTTATTTTTCATTTAAACGAACGAATCGGAAAGAGAGAATTAAGAAAAGCAGAGATTAAAAAAAAAAAAAAAATCCCACCTGTTGTGTTTAATAATCGTCGTTGTTGAAAATATAATTTTCAAATTTATTGTCTCATCTATAAAAAGAATATTCTTAATTTTTATTTTATTTTTTGAGAATGAAAAGGTCAAATAAAATATGTGTTCTGGACATACGCTCAAAACGATTATCGACCACTTGTCTGTCTATCTGTTTGATTTATTATCAATTTTGTTATTCACGCGTTACTCACACGAATCTGTCAATTTAACAATTAAAAATCAGACACATGTTCGACAAGTTTCAAATTTCTAATCAACTCTTTTTTCCCTACCGTTCGTTTTTATATTTAAGTCACTGTAGAATAACATTGATCAGAGAATTAAAATATCAGTTCTAATGAATTTAATTGTAGGATAGAATATAATAAGAAAAGAAATGTGAGAAAATCATCATTCTGATGTTATCCGGTCACACTTTACTCTTTGATAATTATATCAAAACTCAGCATGATTTTCTCGTTTTGATGTCTTGTTGTATCTCATCTTTACTTTCTTTTGATACATTCATTGTTAAATAGAATCTAACAAATTTCTAATTAATTTAAGAAAAGATACACTCAATCAATTAACACATTATTTATGCAAATAAGTAATCGATAAACAATTTTATGATAGAAATCTTATATCTATTTTTATCCCGTAAGCGAATATTCTCTCTACTTTCTAGATTGTAAAGTGTTCTATCGCGATATATAATCCCTTTATTTCTGTGTTTGAGTAAGCATTAAGGAATATTCATCTTCTCTCCGCCCCTGCTGGTGTGAAAACATTATTTCCGCTCAATTATGCATTTGTACACACAAAACACCTCTTAGCTCTAACATCATCATCGTGTCCTTGATTCGTTTCAGAGCTAAGTTTACGTCGTGTGTAACCTGCCATTTAGTTTTTTTTTTTTTTGTTCTTTTATAATGTTAGAGGTATGTGCTCTCCTTAATGGACTCTCTCGGTATGTGAAAGAATTAAAAGGACATCAGAAAAAATATGGCATCAACTAACTATCTTATTGACATAACTGAATAATGTTTGAATTTTTTTGATGTTCAAACCGAAACAAAAAAGGCACTATGTAATATATTAAAATAACAATTTAGCTGTCAATCATATTCTTTATTTTTGTTGCATGTATATTTAAATACAAAAACTAAGACAGTTTTAATCATTATGTATACATATATATATATATAAATCTCGATTAAAATTACATGACAAGCACGATATTCTATTGCCTTTCACCTTCTATTGTAATTAGTACATGCATATCAAATTCACTGCATCGATATCATCAATCTTTCTCTCTTTTCTTTTACATACCCAACGTTTTCTTTTTTCTTCTTCCCAATTTCGATGTGTCAATACTAATCAAGTGACAACGACGATAAGTATTAAGGAAGAAGAAAAAAGAAGAAAAAAAAGCAGACAGATCTTTTTATATCGTGATTGGTTGTCAACTTTATCCTTAATATATTCCAATTGGCTCGTCGAATTTTTTTTTTTTCCGTATCCCCCTTTACTAATTATTTAGTACACTATTTTTTTTTTTTTTTTTGTCTATTACATGCACATCAGATTTCTCATGACGACAACGAAGTAGAAGATCAAATTTCAAGCATATAAGCAAGAAGATATTTGATCCGGTTATTGCTAGGATAAGACAACGACGTGTGTACATCATAATTAAAACGTCACCCACTCGTGTGAGCATTCACGCTTGTAATTTATGATTAATCATAGAGCGGCAAATAACAGGTGTATAATGCATCAATGGAAAATCAATTGTGATTTTATATGAACTGAGAAAATGCAATTTCTTTTCTTTTTCGAGAAGAAATATGATCTTATTTAAATAGACAGGAGGAGTTTTTAAAAAATGCAAAAGTTTATTTCGCGTGACAAGTGCCATGAGAAAGAGAGTACTTTTATCGATCGTATGTTTGTTAAATATTGTCGACAAAGCATACTTCTTTCTTTTCATTGTTTTGTTTGGATTTATCAACATTCGATATGCCTTTGTAATATGTAGGCAAAGAGTGAAAGCAACAATGATCTATTTAAATGAACTTTGTATGACTATCAAATATACATGAGACACACACACACACATATATATATATATATATACTTTTTTTTTGTTAGTTTGATGGATTAAAAAAAAAAAACTAAACAAATGAATGATACTTTTTCAAACTATATTACTCTTAATTTAAAAACAAAGAAAAAGATTATTATAAAAAACTTACTAAATGTATGCTTAAGTTTAAAACTTGATAATTAATCGTATATATATAATGATCTATATAACATTTTTTTTAAACACTAGTTAGCTATATAGAAATTCTTCTAGTGATTATTGTTCGTAGTATCAATGGAATCGTGTGTGATGATATGGATGCATTTTGTTTGTATTACTCTATTTCTAGTAACATGCCATTTGAATATATGCTGATATGATTATATATGTTGATCTATGATGGCATGAGGAAAGTGTATATATAGATAATTATTATTTGGTTTGTGCTATCGTACGTAATATAATAGAGAAAAGAAACGAGAATGAACCGCTAATCATCGGTGATATTGTCAATGATAATCTGTCTGTATATATGTTGATGTATAATGCATTCGAGAATTGACAGAGAAAAATAATAACAATCTTCATCGATGATGAAGATGTTCTCTTGTTTATACAAGATAGATTAGGAATAAATACACATGTGCATGTGCCAAAAATTTGGTTTATTCATATAGAATAGAAACAATCTAATGGATTGATTCTATATTTGTGTGTTAGTAGTTATTGATGTAATAAATAGAAAAGAAAGTTATTGCTATTCATTGAAATAAAATATATGTGTAGGCATGTAAAGATAAGCATGATGATAGAAGAAAATCGAAAAAAGGCATTTGCAATCATGGTAAACAATATCTTGCATCTTGTTTTATTGATCATTTTTTCGGTTGGTCTTTTTTTTTTAAATTCTACTCTTATACCAAGGACTTTATATATATTTTACTTTTTTTTTTTTGTATAAGACATGTTCATCTACATTATTTTGGCGTATTGAAACATCACCTCCATCATATATTTTTGGTACAATTCATATTCCTTACAAACTTGTTTGGCCGTATGTATCGAAAGAAATTCGACAAGCATTTATGTCAAGTACACATTTTTATGCAGAAATTGATGCAATAGATGATACTTTTTGGGATGATTTTCTTCTATGTTTAGTAAATCGTTCAAAACGAATTGAACGATCAAGTTAATAAATTATTAATGAATGAAAAAAAAAGAATATTCTCTTTTGTTTTTATTATTATTATTTAGCTAATCCGGTTACTAAAGGTGAACTACTTGATATATATTTAACATTAGAAGCTCGTCGTTTAAATAAAACTGTAGGTAGTTTAGAATCAGCTGAATATTTTTGTGAGGTAATTTTAGAGATACACTTTGTTTTTTGTTTTTGTTTTGATCTAAAACAATATTTATTCATTTTTAGAAAGAAAGTTGGCGTTTTAATTTAACAACATGGATAATGATTTTGACTTATATCAAAAATAAAATGAAAAATGAAACATTTAGTATTGATCTTATAAGACATGATTTAAATGAATTGATAATAAAAGATTATATTTGTAATGAAATTGATAATACATATATGAAAATTTTATTGGAAAAAAATGATGATCTACAACATATTGAACAACGTGATGAACAAATATCACATCATATTCATAGATTATTAAATCATTCGAATAATAATCGATATTTTTTTGCTATTGGTGCTGGTATTTGATATTGGATTTGATGAAATTTATTTTTGTTTTTTGTTTTTTGTTTTTTGTTTTCTCTTTAAGCACATATGTTTGGTAGACGTCAAAATTTGATAGTTCGATTAAAAGAATTTGGATATAAAATTACTCGAATTTGTACTTATCAAAATCGTATTATGTAAGTTTCATTTTTTTTTATTTTATTTAAATTAATAGTTTAATATTATTGTTTTTTGTAGAAAGAAATTTGGTTGCAAGAAAAAGAAAATGATGAAGGACTGTTTTAAGAAGAAAAACATTCGTAAAGCAAAAACTTTGATTAATAATATAAAAACAAAATTTTAATAAAAAATTTAAATTTAATACTATGTATTTATATTCATAGGATTGAACAATATTATGAATAGTTCTTAAAGGATAGAGCACTTTTATTTCTTGTCGTTTTTATGAAACGCGATCTAAAAGAAGTATAGAAGTGAAAATCTCTATGGACAAAACTTTGCCGGCCCGAATCACAAACTGTATATCGATAACAACTCGTTATAATATATGAATATTAACTATTTCCTTATTACATTTCTAGAAGATTAAGAAAAAGAACAGGTGGAGAAATGTGTCTCAAAATAAATCTTCCTATGGTTAACAAAAAAACAACTAAGGCGATGAGAAAAAGTTTTCTGACAATGTATTTTTCATTTTCTTTTTCTATAATGTTAATCACCTAGCTTAAAGTCATATAGTGATTTTAATAGTCAACGAAATTTTCTATACAATGCATTATATATCATGATATCACAGGTGAACTATGATGGAAAACTGCGTCATCATTCTTTTCTCAATACGCACTTACTCGAAAAATTCTGAAAATTGTCTGAATCTGAAATTTTTCACAATTATCTGATAAAACACTTTTTTCTTAGTTAATTACTCATATCACATCGAACATTTACATGAAACGGGATGTTCAGAATAAATTTTCGACATGAAAATTAAAATCACCATCGAAAATCAAGTTGAATGATATATGCCTCAATGATAACATATTTTTCTGGGGGCTACAAAGAAAAACTCTGAAAACTACATGACATTCGAGCTTTACTTGATTGTAGAATGTGGTGCTAAGTGACCAATGTCGATTATCGAAAAAATTGACATTTCAAAAAGAAAAAATACGAATAATCGCTTCAACGATTTATCACAAAATGTTTTTCTCGAAAGGTTATTTACATCTGACTTGAATCAGGCTTTTATCGTCGCGATAAATTGGAAAATTTTTAAGTTTTGATCAATCAATTAATCAAATGCTAAAAGGAATTGACAAATAGACATGTCAAAATTGATCGCTACAATAACTCTATCAACATGTTCCTAGAAAATGCTATCGATTAATCGTTTAATTATGTATTTTATTAATTATTTATAAAATAGAATGAAGGCTAAATTGTTCTTCAATGTAAGATCTCATTAGCCTACAAATTTATGATGATAATACCCTCACTTTCTACTCTTGTTTCTTCTTTCTTGCTACCTTATTCTTATTATTATATTTGTTAGTCCTTTATTTTGGCTCTGTCTTGCATTGCCAACCTCGTTTCATAAGGACAAACAAAAGTTGGAAAGAATAATTATAAAATAAACGATGCTGTTGACAACTATATGGTCCAAAGATAAACTAGGTGAAGTTTATCTTTAACGAGAAAAAATACCCATATATAACGTTCTAGAGCTATTGTTATGGCACGTATGTTAGATGTACCATAAGATAAATATGTTAATGTATTATCCCCATATGTTCGTTTTCTTTCGTTCTCTCAGGTATGTTCCCTAGTGTATTCTCTTGTTTTCTTCCTTTACTATCTTCTTTACTTTGATGTAATAACTCATGGAATTTTTTAACTGTCTTATATTATCTATTGGTTTATTTCTTCTTTCTCCTAGCATCTAATACATATATATATATACCTATTGTTTCTATATGAAAAGGAGAGACATAAAGTGATTAAAATCTAATCTAACCGTTCTGATTATCATCATAAATAAACTGTATACACAACAATGAATATCGGGCATAACAGATATCTATAAATAACAGCAGTAGACACCGAATCTATAAATAAAAAAAGTGATTTCTGCCCAAACCATAATTTATTATTCACGATAGTCAATTATCGATCGAACGGTAAATTTTCTTAAAAATGAACGAACAAAAGTTTCAACAAATCACAACAGTCTCATCGACTACAAAGCGACAAAGACGGCGCATGGCTGAAAATTACTTACTTATCTAGGTCGATGGATATATTGACATGACACAAATGAAGACTGTCAACATATACTCACGCAACTTTGCGGCATCGTCACCAAAGTGAAATCGTACACAACAACGGCATAATGTATTCAATGGCTCAATGAAAATACTGAGAAAACATCATTCGTTATCTCCTGAGGTACACTTGGACAACACCTAGTGCCAGACATTCACAACATGTCAAAACTTGATACCATTTACATTCATTGTGGGAACAAACAGTGCCATGCAGCATGGGCAAAAATCAATGGTGTCCACATAATATCGATCAAGCTTACATGCAAAGCACTGGCAATGGCTGTCTAGCAATGCAATCATGATAGCATGTCAGTCAGTATAATCAGTGTGAATGAAGGAGGTTCTAGCGCAAATTACAATCAGCTAGAGCCCACATTCATGAATTCACAAATATTCTAGGAAATTCTTCTTGATATAAAACCATTACGAACATTGGAAGGTAACACCATTATCAGAATGGGTTCTTTTCTTTGCAATGTGCACCGACAAATCGAAATTTTATACAAGAAACCGGTCAATCTAGATCATGGTAAGACCCTTTCAGTCTTTCGGAAACAAGGATTATAGAAAGCAAAGACGGGCTTACATCATTCAATAATTTTTTATCTACTAGCAAAAAATGAGAAAAAACTCTTGATTTCGTCAAGCGAGCCTTAAGAACAACGGGTATGGGGGACATCCTCTTTCAAATGAGAATTGATTCCACGGTCCCATCGACTCCATTGCAGAGGAGAGCTATTACAAGCAAGAAGAGGAAATCCTTTTTTCCATGCATACAGGTTTTTGAAATAGGTGACATTCGAAAACTCGGAAGCAATCCTTGACTATATCAAGTGAACCTTAAGCTTACGGCAGACGATGATCAACAACTTCGTCTATTAACAGACCGTATACGAGAAGNCATACATCTTCTTAGTCTTCTTTTCGCATCCACTCTACCTTCCAGAGTGTCACAGCAGTACTGAAGAATACGCCGCTGCAGTAACACTTCAAGATCACTGCGTATCGTCGTCTCGTGAACCTTCAGAGGACAACAGTACCTCACGAAAGTAGGCGCACAAGGGCCAAGCGTACTGCTTCCGAAAGAAGTTGATGACCCAAGGGTCCGGTCTATAGTAGGACTTGCGGACCGAAGGTACGCCTCTATAGTAGAACTAGATGACCCAAGATTACCCCATAGAGTAACCCTTCAGGTCTCAAGGGTACCCGCTATAGTAGCCCTTGAGGACTCAAGAGTACTCCCTATAGTAGCCCCTGAGGACCTAAGGGTGCCCTCCTATAGTAGCCCTTGAGGACCTATGGGTACCTCTATAAGATAGCTCTTGAGAGAAAACATGGACTGCAAACTAAGGTAAAGTATGGACTGGCGTTAAGTGAGCTCAAAATTTGGAGTTTACGCAGTTTGGAGCTCACTTTTTTTGACCCTTGAAACTGCTTCATTATATCATCTGACTTTTGATCAATCTCTAGCTTGATGTCTAAGACAGGTATTTTTGACAGAATCAGGAAAAGTTGAATTACAATATGGAAACCAACTAAGGAAAACATTGTTGACATACGATGTAACATGATAGTATTTTCTTGCTTTTTCAATTCTTATTTAGTACTTCCCTTTTAAAATACGTTTTTTTGACATAGCCGCTATGTAAATCAATATATTCCCAGTTTGTTTTTTGGAAACGATGCTCAAAGGCAAAGATTTTTTCTTGAAAACACACCAAAATGCAGTTTTTGCGCCATGGGATGCTAAAGTTCTCTAGTTTTATTGTTATTATATCATTTTTGTACTAATTTTTTTTAGATATAAATTCTATTTCTTGAGATTAGCTGTCTCACGGCTTCAAAGTACGTTGCCCCTTAATCAAGGGAAAAAAATGTGGAAAGCATACATAAAAATCGTTTACTTATAGAAAAACATTAGATTTTTATTACAACGGTCATTCTCTCAGTATGGAGAGTACATCATTAAGAGTTTAGCTAACAAAGTATGTGGTGAAACATAGTAGTTGCACGCAAGTATACGTATTGGGGTAAAAAATTGTTCAACACTCTCTATCGAATTTTGCATGAAACTGGAACATTTGACCGTTTCTAAAATTCGATGAAGATGTATATAATTCAAATGAGAACTTTCTCATACAACGAAAAATTAAACAATTTCCAGATCTTCAATAATAAATACCTAGGCGTATAGAAGCTGATAATGAGCATGCTCTTCATTTTAGTATCTCACCTGTATTGATGGCGGAGAATGTTGATCAATTTTGGCGGCATTGTCGGTAGGTGTTTGATTGTTTACTGCTTTACCAACATTTTCATTGGCAATTTGTTTGGTANTTGGGAAGTTTTTAGTTTTTTGTTTTTTTGGCCTGAAGTATTTGGAATTTTTGAAAAAAAAAAAAAAAAGCGGCCATCCCGATTGGGTCCGTCTACTCACAGTAAAAATTTCAGCTCAAACGGATAAAATCTGTGGATTTGCGGGGGGAAAACTTTTTGCAAGTTTTTGACCTTGGGGTCTCTGGAAGCCCATGAAGATGAGGTCTGGCAAATTTGTGCTCCGGATAACTTTTGCTCTACTACTCGAGACCTACCTACCCTGAAAGTTTCAGGAATTTTCGATCGACCGTTTCTTAGAAACGCCGGAAAGGGGAGAGGGGTCCCCTTAAAAAAAAACAACTCGATTTCACTCTATAATCTAAATAGATCAAAAATAATTTAAGTATATATGCTTGTGACAACTCTTAAGGTAGTGGATATGTGTTTACATCGATATCAGATTAGACTATCTAATGAACTGTATGTTCATGTTTTTGAACTCTAATTTCATTTTCAGTTATTTTATTGTTCTTCGGCATTGAAACTGTCTTATGTATATCTTAATCTTATACGCTTTTTCATGTATTTGCTTTCCTTTGTTAACTATTTTTTATCTCTTGGCTGAATAATCATGAAACCTTGTATAATAATGTTTGTTAGCGCATTTCATGTGGAATTAAAATAAGATATACAATGTAGCTGTTGTTGTTAATCAGAGAAAGATTGTTTTATTCTATACATCTCGCGACGCTTTTTTTCATTTTCCTTCTAGTTATTTAATCCTTCAGAAATTCTATAAGAAAGTAGTTAATATGTTATAACAAGCTGTTCTTGATATACTCTCTGTGATGATCTCTGGCAACGACAAGTGAAGATATTTTTCTAACTATTATACTTCAATACTTCCTTTAGATCGCATTTCATAAAAGCATATAACTAAGAACACGAACTATTTTCAGAATAATTTATAGTTCACACTTAGATTTTACATAATAAACATAATCTTGATTCACATGTGATTTATTATTGAACTGATTTTCTTATATTCATATTCAATAACCTATAATCTAATAAATTTTAGTGAGAAAATTTTTGATCAATTGAAAATCTTTTCTCATTTAATTATTTGTTAATTGTATGAAAATTTGATTTGTAATTCTCAAAAAATATGTAATATTAATTCATTTATTATTTATTTTTTTTTTCTAGGAATGTATTATAAAGCTTTTGGTAGTTCAGCTACAATTAATCTAACCGAACAGTATAATAATGAATGGATATTAGAAAAATTAAATTCAACAATAATTGAAAAAACTTTCGAAACAGATAATAATCATGTTCGTATTGTTCATCAAAGTCAAATAATAGGTGATAATGAAGATGAATTTTATTATTCACCACAAATACTTCATCAATGTTATTCATGTCCAAATTTAAATTCAAAACCATTAAATATTCACATGCGTGAACGTTCATATTCATTAACAACACTTGATGCTTATACACATTTAAATATAACACATGATATATTAGAACAAATTTGGCATTCATTACTTAATGTTACATTTAGTGATAAAGATGATAATGAATTAAATGAATATAAATTACGACATATTATTGGTTTAACAAATTCTTATACAAATATAAATCATTCAACAATTGAAAAATCTCATAGTCATAATGATATATTTTCAATATTAAATAAAACAAATCAAAAATCTATAACAAAAATAAAATCAAAATCATTTGATATAACATCATTAATAAAACAATCATCATCATCATTATCAACAAATAATTCTGTTAATATTGGTCTTTTACAAGGTGCTGATATATCAGAACCATTTGCTGATCGTTTAATATCAATATCAATACAATCTGATCTTGAAAGTATGCATTCATTAGAACATGAACCAATATCAAATGAAAATTCTCTAACATCACCTATATTAAAAGAACCATTAAATTATGTTTTTAATTTTACAAATCAAATTGATAATAATGATGAATATGATATAGAACCAATAATTGAAAATGAAGATAAATCAATAAATATATCTGTTACATTTGATGATAATGATGATGAAGAAGAAATAATTTTACCTATTATACAAATACATGATACATATACAGAATTATCATTATTTCGTCCACATTCATTATCAACAATACCAAGTTCAAGAGCAAGTCAATATGCATCAAGTGTTGATAGTGATGATATATTTGAACATGAACGTCATTTAAATAAAGAAAATTTTGATGATAATTATCAATGTCATATTAGTGATGATGATCATGGAGTTATTGGATCAGAATTTTCTTCACCACAATCGAGACCACTTTCATCAATACAAAGTCAACCATTATCACCAGAACAAAATCAGGTAAATTATTTATTCAATATAAATGTCAATGATATTTACTTTTTTATTTCGGAGGTAATCAGCACAACATTTAAAGTATTAGTTTTGTATTCTTTTCGAATTATATAGGGTAGCCCAAAAGTCATTCAATAGTTTTTGATCGAGAAAAACTTTTAATAGAAATAAGAAAGTGAGCGAAGATTTTCATCGTTGAAAAGAAAAGACTAAAAGGTAATTAATTATAATATTCATCATTTTTTTGGAAAGTTCGAAAGTCTCAAGTTTTCAAAAAATTCTCCTAAAAAATGATGAATAGTATGGTTCGATATCGCCAAATCTTCTCTTTTCAACGGTGAAAACTGCTGCTTTCTTTCTCTTGTTTCTATCAAAAGTTATACGCAGTAAAAAAAAAAAACTACCTGGCAACTCTGGGATTAGTCTGTACACTCGCAATTTTTCTCAGACTCATAGGTTCAGAATTACGAATGAATCTTTAACAAGCCCGAAAATAAAGTCTGAACGAAAGCAGATTGAACTACTATCCGTTTCAAAATAGAATGCACCTGACTGTAAATTGAATAACTTTTGGGCTACCCTATATAATTCGAAAAGAATACAAAACTAATACTTTAANTCAAACAACTGGTGAGCTGTTAGCACTCAAATGGATGGACAAAAGAGAGGTGCACATGCTTACCACATTGTATGAACCTGTTATGGTGGAAACTGGGAAGAACGATAGAGAAACAGGTCGAAAAATTTATAACACATGAATGGTAGTGAGAGAGATAAAGATGCAGGTCATAACACAAACGTGTAAAATATAGCAACCGCAACATTTACTTCGAAAAGACCCAGAAAAAAATCCAAATTCACTTGCGTCAGATCATGTAAAATTTCAATGACGCTTTAAAGCGTCACCGGTCCCGAAAGGGTTAATACATCTCTGGAGCATTGAGTAAAATCAAAATGAAGAGGTCTACCGCAAAACAAATAGATTAAAACAATCATTGCCTAATTAACAGAAGCAACTACACAGTCGTTCACATTTTGATCATGCACAGATTGTGCTAAGAGATTTATTTTATTTCAATTACAATAATACGAAGAAACAAATGAGAAAATATCAATTTATTATATGTATATATTGATTATTGCTCTATATAAGAATTAATCAATCAAAACGTATGTTCGTCCGATAATCTGTGCGGTACAATGTGCTATTGTCCAATTCGCGTATTGATTATCCTATTGGTCTAATGCGAGTTTGCGCAGTTCGAGTAACCCATGGCATATCCCAATGATTTCTTCTCAAACGTCGTCGTACTCCCGGTAAACCAACAAGAGAAATAAATGGTGAAGCAAGTGGGCATATATAAAGACAATAAGTCATTACAAGGATTGTTACATCTTGCAAAAATAATGGATCATAAAATAGACGAATAAGTGAAACAATGATAAATGGTATCCAAATAATAAAATACAACATTGAAATAGATACAAGTTGTACATACATCAAATGATATTTTCGCCATGTATTTGCTTGTTTCATTGCTCGTTTTTTATATGTAAAACGTAATAAAAGAATCATATTAGCCAATACAATCAACATAATAGGAGTGACTAAATTAAAAAGATAATCTAGAGTACCTATTATTTCTTGAAATTGAAAACATCCCCCTCCACATACATATGCATCATAATCATAGACATTCTCACATGGATAGATATTAACCAACACACTATAAAGTATAAAAGGATAAATAAAACAAATGAGAATTGGAGGATAATGAGCAACATAACGCCATTTATATACATGTCTTTCGTGAAAAATAAGAAAATATCTTTCAATAGATCCAAATGCCATCAGAAAGAAACCAGCACCATATAAACCATAACAGTAAGCTATCCAAAATGAACAAAACTGTGCACTTTTAGGTTGAACATGACCATGATAAGAATACAGCAAGGTAATTGGTAATTCAGTAGTAATAAGAGTGAAATTCAACAAAAGAAGAACAAGAATTACATGATTATGAAGATGTTTATAACCAGTTTCTCGTGTTTTTAGCAAATAGAAGAAAATAAGCAGAAAAACAATGAACGATGGAATCAAACAAATAATTAAAAGTATGAAACGTATCAATCGATATATGTATGCATCCATAGTCGTGAAATATGAATAAATGAAGTGTCTTATTTTCAACTTCTGCAGATTAAGTTAATGGAATTAGGATTAAACTAAGTCAGGGTATTGTAGAAAGTTTAAGTACCTGTAAACGAGAATATATTTAATTATAGACTGAGTATAACATGACGTTCATGTCATATACACCCTTGAAGACATGTGTAATTTTTGTTAAAAAAGTGTCTGTGATCGGGGGGCGCCTATGTGCGTTGTTCGCCAACAAAAACAAATGTTTAAAAATAATAAGTCTAACTCTTTTATTGCAGTTAAGATTACAGAAATCAATTAGAGAATGAAATTTAATATAACAGTTATGATAAAAATGTTTGAAAGTTTTCATTCAGATTAAAATGTTGAAGCGAAATCGCTGTGAAAGACGTAATTTCAGTCTGAGAAAAATATCTGAAAAGATGATTTTCCATTATTCTATGATACATGGTTACTAAAGTCAATAGAAAATTCAACATCTTACATTAAAAACTATGTATATCGATTCTAAAAACCTATCAGAAAAATAATGTATAATGAATTATGTTTATGATTAACAGTCTTGTTTATTCTTTGCGCTTGTCTACCTACTATTTTTCCGCTCATTAGTAATGTAAAACTGTTTGTAAAAAAATTATCTTTGTGTCACAACACTTATTTTGAAGCATTCTTCAGTTGATTGTTTCAGTTCTTAACGAAATTAAATTTATAATAACTTTTCCTTATAATAAGAAAAGTATTCTTCACTCCAAGATAGAATCAAGATTTGATCATTAACCAAAACCGTATAAAATTGTAACATCATTGTATGAAAAAGCGTAATTATTTTTGTATACAAATAATTTAGCATTAAAATTCTCTTCAAATTCGTATCAATCCAGGTCTTCATCTTTGATGCCTTTATGAAGAGTTAATCGATACTCGGATTAAGTTTCTTAATAATTAAAACATTGATGACACCATTAAGAAGAATTTTATGACGATGAATTTTTAAGAATAAATCAACGAAAAATAGCAGCTAGCACAATCTTTATGGGATTCAAATGTGAAAATCGATCTAACTACTGTTGCTAGTTATAGGATATTCTTTTATTCTACCCTATCAATTCAAAAGTCTTTGAACAAATATCAAACCTTGTTAGACCATTTTTTCGACTTCAGAACCAGTCCACTTTTTCTTTAGAAAGAGTGATGTATGAACTACAAAGGATGAGGGCGGATAACACCATTTTTTCATCCTTAACAAAATTGACTTTTTTTTATCGATTTGAAGTAAGGTGTCGTCCCTGAGAATATTTCATAGGTTTATTTTTGTACAACTCACCAAAAGAGTTTTGGAATCCATGATCCCCCACGGGGATATCTGAAAACCTTTTTTCTTTGATCCCATTGAAATGTATATTTGATGGTAGAGCCAAGTGAGCTGATTACGAATATCAGTGTATTGTGTTCAAAGCCTTTCAATAGCGAAAAAAGTCAATCCTTGTTTCGGTAAGTATTCGGCTTTATATCCAGCTTCTTGCCTCTGCATCTTGTCCATTCATTATTTTAACCCCATGAAAAAAGGTTTCTGATAAGTAGAACAACGTAGTATACTTAAATATGAAATATAAAATCTCCTTAAAAGCATAATCGGCTATAAAAACTAGGATTACAGACCAAAAACCTGCTTTTCTCTATCTCCTACGAAAAATGAAAACTTTGAAACTTCCTGATAGCAGACTTGAAACAAGATGAAGTTTGGACTGAATACCTAATTTTGGATGCTCTATCTGATGACACACTCAAAAAATTTTAAAAAATGATTCGTCAAAATTTTTGATGGTTTTCTGAAAATTCTTTTAAAGATTCCAAGGGTTTCAACCAAAACTGAATTCACCATCGTGTTCAGCACATCAAATTACCTACCACAAAGTTGTTTCAGAAACCAAATCTGACTGATATACCGGATTGGGGCACGCATTTCTGTAATTGGCTATACAGAAAATCTAACCCAATCGAAACAATAAAGAAGTTAAAGGAATAGTTAAATATGAAAGCTAATATAAGGTTTTAAACTTTTAAGGCAGGTAATTTGATGCGCTGAACACGATGGTGAAATCAATTTTGGTTGAAACCTTTGAGATCTTTAAAAGGTTCTCCACAAAACCACCAATAACCTTGACGCACTGTTGTATTAGACTTTTGAGTCTCCCATCAAATAGAGCATTCAAAATTACATGTTGAGTCCAAATTTCACCTTGTTTCACGTCTGCTATCAGGAGACTTCGAACCTTGGATTTTTCGTCGGAGACAGAGAAAAGCAGGTTTTTGGTCGAAAATCCGAGTTTTTATAGTAGATAATGTTTTGAAGAAGATTTTATACTTCATAGTCAAATAGACTATGTTGTTCTACTTATCTCAGGAGCCTTTTTTCACAAGGTTACAAAGGCAAAAAACTCGACATGAAGCCTAATGTGTGCTGGAAAAAGGATTGCCTTTTCCTTTAGTAAAAGACTTTGAACACTTAATATATTGATATTCGTAACTCTACCAATAAATGTACATTTCAACGGAATCAATCACAAAACGTTTTCCAGAGATCCCCGTGGGGGACCACGGGTTCCAAAAAACTTTTAGTCAATTGTACAAAAATGAACCTATGAAATATGATCAGGGATCATGTCTTACTTCAAATCGATAAAAAGAAGTCAATTTTGTTAGGGGCGAAAAATGGTCTTATCCGATTTCATCCTTGAGGTTGCCAGCGGCCAAAATCGGACAGGGAGAGGGGCGAGTCCAAAAAGGCTGATTTTTCCCGAGCGTCGGTTATGGGTGACCGCAACAAAATCCTTTTTCAAAAAACAATTTCATTTCCGTTAATAAAATGCAATTTCCCTTTTCATTTACTCGATTTCTAAATTTGGAAATGTGAAAAAGAATTTGAATATTTAGAAAATCATTATTGCAAATAGTTTTTTTTTAAAACCAATCTATAAAAGTACGTTCAAGTAAAATCTATCACTTTTTGACTCTTTTGTGTTTTCTTCACTGAAAAACAAAAAAAAAATTAGATCTTCTAAAATTTTTCTTTTATATCTTTCAAATAATAATTTTAAACAAATGACTTTCGTTTTTTTTTTGTTGGCCAAGTTTTCAATTGCGTCTTCTCAGTGCGTATTTGCCTGAGTGTCTAGTTTGTCCTTTGCTCGTTTCCTTCTACACTTGGGTATATTTTATTCATGGCCACATCCTTATGGTACATTGATTTTTCTAACTTGGAAAAATGTTTTACCCATACACATGCAAATAAACGGGGGGAGGGGGGCGAGGAGGAGCGAGGACTGGAATCTCATTTCATCTATTATCGAATTTGCAACTCAAAAGCTATCAGAGCAAATTTATTTGTGCTAAACACTGAATAAAAACAAAATGGACCACGTAGCGCTTGGAAAAAATGTTATTTTTCGCCAATATTTTTGCAATAAATATTATCGATATGATACTTATGTTTGCATTCTTCTATCTTTATTTCCAGAATAAAAAATAAATAAATACACACATGACAAGAAAAAGTGCAAAAGAAAAAAATTGAAACAAAGAGAAAAATGTAACAGAAACACACACATGTCTTTGTGCTTTTTCTTGCGTTTTTTAACAACAATTAGAATATACTAATTACAAGATAAAAAATAGGACACAACAACAAAACAAACAAAAAGAAAAAATTGCATAAGAAGAAATTCAGAGAAAAGAAAGCACTGGTTTACATTTTTTTCTCTACATTTTTATTTTCTTTTAGCAGAAAATAAGTAGCGCAGTGTATAACGTCTATTGTAACGTCCCTTGACTATCTGTGTGTTGTATCCGGGAGTATGTGTGAAAAAGTGAAGAGGGATGAATAGTGAGAACGTAAACATTATTAGGACATGAAAAATCTTTAAAGAGATACTTCTGAAGGGTAAAAAGCGCAAAATGGTAGGATGAAAGGGGGTGAAATAAAAACAGTTTGAGTTTCATTGAAGAAGAAAATGAACAAGTGAAAGAAAGTTAGTATTTTTTGCAAAAATGAAATGTTCCATGAAAAAGAAAAAAAGCAGTTTTCGGTTGAAATAACTGAAGACAGTTGATAACAGTAGCAAAAAAAAGTGATCCATGAAGGAGATAAAAAAGAAAAGTGAATAGACTAGATATGAAGTAAAAGAATAGAATTTGGAACAGAAGAGTACAATAGATGGTAATTAGGATGACAAAAATTGGTAACTCAGAAGCACGGCCATTTTTTTCTATTATAAATCCTTAAAACCCTTATTACTAAAGTCAAGGAGAAGAAAACGATGAAAATTTTCTTTTCATCAAATTTTATCATTATCTCTTTTCTTTCTAATACTTTTTGTTTTTTATTATCAAAATATGAATATATGTGATTTATCATATCCAATGAAATTTTCGTTTTTCCTTGGGTGTGTCTAACGAGCGTAACAAAGTTTTGGATTTTTTTATTCATTTCCAGGACAAGAAAACAGAAAGGAAAAAAAGCAAGAACAGTATCTTTTGTTTTTAACCAATAATAACATTTTATTAAATATTATGAAACAAAAAGTGTAAAATTCTTGACTTTCAGAAAGCTAAACAAAATTGAAACTGTCTGAAGAAAAGGCGGGAACTCTCTCTCTCTCTATCTTCTTTTTGTGATAAATTATGCTTCTCTTTACTATGGTGTTTAGTTTATCAAAACATGCGCATTTTTATTCCAATATTTAGTAGTAGTTGTCTTATCTGTATTGCAAATTGTCACTTTGGTGTCACTAACAGAGACGCTGTTAGAAATTACTGTATGCACATGTACTGGAGCAAATTTATCATAATTACCGCCTTTATCTTTCCGACTATAGAGAATAAACTGAACGTTTTTAATCGGCACATCAACTTGATTCATTTGATTCATGATCGGGATGTTTGGATCACTCAAACAAAAACCACGCAGGGTGTGGGTGTGAATATGGATGCGGTCAGCAAAAGAACAACACCCGCACCCCGTATTCTATCTCGTTGGAATGAGAAAATGTTCTCTTTCTTTTGTCTTTACTCTTATCGCTTGCATACGTTATGCCGCATGTCTTTGTTTTCTTGCGCATTAAAACGGATAGCGTTCGTCTTGGCTTCCTTTGCAACAAGAAGGAAAACATTCTCTGTTAGGCGTATGTGAAACACTTGTTGTTGCTTGCAGCATCGTACTTCGTTGTGATTCTTCATCTTTTTTTCGAAAAGTGCTTCACATACCTCCAACAGAGAATGTTTTTCTTCTTGTTGCAAAATGAAGCCAAGACGAACGTTATTCGTTTTAATGCGCAAGAAAAAAAAACATGTGGCATGGTCTACGCAAACGATAAGCATAAAAATGAAAGAAAGAGAACATTTTCTCATTGCAACGAGCTAGAATACGCTTTTTACTCCAAAACAAATGAATGATGATTCAAGAAAAAGTGTTGAACAAAGCAATTCGATAGCAGCTGATCGTATACAAGGTATTTTTGATGAAGACCTCGTTACATGTTCAATATGCCACATGATTCTCTGGAAACCAGTTGCTTGTAAAACATGTGAAAATTCATTTTGTTCTGGTTGTATCAATCAATGGCAGCAAAAGCAACCTAGCAAATGTCCATTCACTTGCCACTATGAAGAGCGCAAGTGTACAGCAGCTATTCTCAAAATACTATCAAAACTACAAATAAACTGTTGCTACATACAGAATGGTTGTTCGATTGTAGTTTTCTATGAAGGATTAGAAAAACATGAGCAACAATGTGATTACCAGCTCAAGAAATGCGAGGGATGTCAACGGGAACTGCTGCTGAAAGATTTAGCAGAACACCAGCAGCAATGTGATCAAATTGGTTTGAATACGTTGTGAAAGTGCGAGAGATAATAGATATTGAAACGATCTGTTTTAACTTAGTTATGCAACAAGTTTAACTTTGAATAGCGCGAAAAGAAAGGTGTTCTCTCTTTTCCCAATAAAATGTTGTTAAGTGGCAAAATTTGATAATAGTAGATAAGGATTGATATTTCCGAATGTTGATGATCCTATGTTTTATTCCTGATGAGAAAATAGCTCGATTTTGTTATTTTCTAACTAAATTTTTTCAAAACATTTAGCGTACAAGCCTCTACAAAGCTGTTCCCATAGGAGTTTCACAAGAACAAAAGCAACAAATCGATGGTAGTAATACTGCGACCATGAAACATGTAGGCATGCACTGAACCCGAACTTTCCAGGGTTCGTTATTCCCAGGTTCGGTCATTCTCGGGGTTCGATTATTTCTGGGTCCCATCAGTATTAAGTTTCGGTTCAGTCAAAATATTTCCTTCAATCCAACACAGTTTCGCTAGCATATGGATTTCACTAGAGAATTTCCGTTCAAAGGTAAATCGAGCTCGAGGAATTCGAATTTGAAGTCAGATTTCGACAATTTTTAATAGGACTTTTTTCAGTTAAGGGAAGGGTTTTTCGAGAAAGTAATGGTATGTTATAAAGGTTGACGAGAGCAAATCGAGGTTGAGGAATTCAAATCAGCAATCAGGTTTTTGAAATTTGGTGCCGGATTTTTTCGATAATTTTTTGTTAAAAAAACTGATATTTATGAAAACCAGACCTTCGTGGAAACCCTAGGAAAAATATCTGATGTTTCCGGGTTAGATCCTTTATCTGTTCAATAATCTTTCTTTCAAAGACTCGACGTCTTTTTCTGTGAAAACAAGAAACTCCTGAAGTAAGCGTGTAGTCATGGAGCTCCAGAATTCTTGGCAAGATTTGAAACAAGATTTAGTCAGAGTTCTGAGCAGATCATTACTAATTCTGAATTAGAAATCGTCCATGAAACTGTTAAATCGTGAAAGATGTATAGTCGTGGAATTTCAAGGTTTTTGCAGAATTCGAAAGAGGATTCAATCAGAATCTTGACTAGGTTATCACTTCATTTAGAATCACAGACCCGTTCAGAAAACCATAGCTTCAGCAAGAAATGTAAACTGAGTGAATATTAGATATTTTGACTAGATATGTGCGAATTGCAGATCTTTCTAGGCAGGCATGAAGTCCGAACTTCCTGAGCTCGGTACTCTCCGATTCAGTAGCTCCCGAGTGCTGAGGCTCCCTGATTTAGTCAGTCATAGAGTTCAAGTAACATTAGGAACTAATAGAGTGTGTACATATATCATTGCTTGATAGAAATTTTATACTACAAAATGCTAATATTTTGAAAACTCACTAAGGGTAATTTGATTCGTGGAAACAGGTAAAACGAAAAGAGGTACTTTTTGAAATTCTTTTTACATTGAAGTGAAACCAAATACTCAAACTCTTCCTCTTATTGAATTTGCTCTTCTTATAACGATCACCGTCTACCATCGATAAGTTCTCTTCTTATAGAATATTTAAAGAGAGTAGGCGTTTCGAGACTAAACAAATACCATACCATCAGATTGACAAATTCTCTTCTCAAAGTTACTCATACTTATGAATAAATTATGCATGCAGGGTGGCCCAAACGTAACAGAATAGATGATGTTTTTCGATTTTGTTTTCTTTATACATCGACAGTTACATCTTTTTTTTATACCACATATACTAGGTGATATTAGTCAGAGATTGGACATATGATCAACCTCTCGACCTATTAATTTGTTCTAAAGAATATAAACATGTCTTTATTGCTCTTATAGAACTACAAAAAATATTCAATGTTTTTCCTGTTAAATTCGATTCGATTAAATTTTTGTATTCTTTTAGTATAAAGGAGTTCAAAATCTGACAAAATCGAATTTGTTTCTCAGACTGGCATAAGCAGACAAGAAGATGCAAATCCAATGTAATACGAAAAACATCGAATATTTCATATAGTCTCATAAGAGCAATTAACACATATTTATATTCCTTGGAACAAATTAGTATGCCTAGAGGTTGATCATATGTCCCATCTCTGACTGGTATCACCTAGTATATGTGGTATAAATAGGAGACGTAACTATCGATGTATAAAGAAAAAAATCGAAAACAATTATCTGTCCTGTTACTTTTGGGCCATCCTGTGTGCTTCAATTGGGTTTTAAGTATCAGAATAAAATGCGTTTTAGTAATGAAATAATAATAACAAAAAAAGAACAATGTGAGATTATGCGTCCTAGTTGTCGTCGCCGCTACTGCATCCTGAGCTATGATATTCATCATCGCTTTGTTCAATATCTGAGTACTGTCTACAGTCTCGTAGACATTGATGAAAGTTGATGACGGAGAGTCGACTATCATAATAGTCAATTTCGCCTTGACAAACGTCTAATTGCCGAATGGGAGCTGGGGTGTGAGCACAACAGTCGATAACTCGAGCGCCAGCTGAACAGGTGAAGAACAATGCTTAAATTGGCGAATCTTCATCTTGGTCGTTGAGTTGTACCGTGTACATATTTTTTGCAGTTAAAATGTCCGACAGCGAAACCCGCTCGAGCAAAGTCCTTATATTCAGCACAAAGCTCAACGACAAACTCGAATTCATCATCCTCTAATTTCGATAGGTGCGGGTTTGGGTGTGGCTGTCGGGTGTGTGTGTATGTTTTGATTTTCCCTTTACCCATAGCTACAGGCATCCACCTACACCCACACCCACACCCACACACACCACCCACGAACACCCACACCCTAGAAGCTCGATTATATATCGATATTCGGAAAAAATTCAGTTGGAAATGTAAAAACTGAGATAGCTATCATCAACATTCAAAAATACCATGGCTTATGGTCCAGCTGATGGGCCTCCAAAAACTGAACAAAAATTTGTTCAAACGAGCATAAATAAAAATTTATCACTTCTCTAAATTACTTTTTAGAAACGATGGAACAGAAGTTAAAAAATCAGCAAGACGCAATCGACCAACTGCATGTAAAAAATGAAGAATTCAAACGGGAGTGTTTAAATACAATAAAGGAACAAATAAAATTACTCATACAGCAGGTAAATCTAAGAAACTTCTTTGCCTACGAGAAGATTACTAGTTTGGCTCAGAACGCTAAAACAACGTTAAATAATATCGGCTTCTGTTTTTATTTTCATATTCATTATCACTTCATTTTAAGGAGAGGTTTGATACTGTGTACGGCAACACTCTCAAAATTGAAGAAAATGGCCTTGTAGTTGTTCTTGTGGACAAGGGTGGACATAGCGAGGTTCGCGGAAGAAATTTATATTCTTCTTGTATTAATTGTATTAAATTCCGAATAGAAAAAATGTTAAATAATCAATGGATATCTTTCGGAGTTATATCAAAGTCAACACCAATGGCAGCATATTCATTTTCATCACCATCTTTCTATGGCTGGGGACAAAGTACCGAACAAACGTTTTTGAATGGTTCGGTTCAGCCTGGTTATGATGGCTATGATGGCGATATCAAAGAAAATGACATTATTGAATTAATCATAAATTGTGAAACAAAAATTATTCAGTTAATTAACCAACGCTCTACTAAACGCTATGAAATACCAATTGACTCAAGCAAATGTTCATTCCCTTGGATGTTGTCTGTTAACCTTACTAATATAAACGATCGTGTACGCATCGTAACATAAACTCCTCGATACAACAGTAACATAACACAGAGAAAATGATAAAAAAATATACTTATTCCTGAGCAGTCATTTTTGTCGTTGTCATTTTTTTTCTGAAGAGAGGTTTGACGCTACACCGGCGATAAAGATTTGGCACTGGATATACACGGGTGTGGGTACGGGTTATAATATTCTCTTCAGCAGTAGAATGCCACAGCCACACCTTGAAATTGAAGATTTTTTTTTATTGTTTTCTACTATAGGACTGTATATTCTATTTCTTTTTCAGATAATAAGCTTCTTGCGAATTGCTTCATGCCAAAATATTTTAAATCCGTCATTTCAAAAGAAAATTAATCATGAAAACGAACTTCAAATCAATACTAAAGAAAATTTATAATTAGTTATTTAACATAACAAGAGAGATCCAAAATAAATATTTGATTTTAAACTTCAACATTATATTGAAAACATCTCTTTATTAGGTGTTTTGTTATTAAAAACGTTTCTAGATACTTGAGCAATCTATGACTTCCAAGTTCTGAGGAAAACATATATAAATATTTTACCTAATGAAGAATAGTTTCAATGAGATTATTTTATAAATGTCATCTTCAGTGAAAGCAAACTATAACTTACACAAAAATTGGGGTAGCTGTGAGTGTGTAGGTGTGGGAGTGGGTGTGGGTGCGTGTCTGGGTGTGAATGTAGATGCAGTCAGCAGAAAAACAACACCCACACCCACATTCACCCACACCCTTTGTGAAGTTCTTCTCCTTCTTTGTAGGACGTGACAACGATCTAGGATTAGTTACTCAATCTTACCCTTATAAAATATAATAAGGAACGATTTTTATTATTTTAGATAGAACATATCCTCATCGAAATATGTTGTATCTACGTGACAAATACTGTAGATGATTCATAATCAACTCAAACTTCTATTTTTTATTACAAAAAATATGTTCAGAATAATGTTTTCCTAAAAATGCTGCCAAGTTAGTCAACATTGTGAACCTTTTTTCGCCTCGATGGGGAAACTTGCTTTTACTTTTTTTTAATCATTTTGTAAAGGAGAAAAAGTTGTACAACATATATGAAATTCAGCATGGGGTCTTTTAAAATGACTGAATGTGGCAGGTGATACACTGCAACAAATTTGCTCATTTTTCACTCGAAAAATGCCTAGTCATGAACAGTATTTCATGAATAACTATCGATAGGTCCATAGAAATGTAATATGTAAATAGGTAATTTTGTTCAGCTTTGATGCTCTATCTTTTGGTATATTACATGAAAAATTTCATTAATTTGATGTCATCAAAAAAATCTCAAAGTTATAGGAACGATTTTTGATACTATTTTTCAAATAGCCTCATGAGCGTTCGACAGTAAAATTGAGCTCACTTTTCATCAGCTCAACCTAATGCGCGAAAAATTTGGATTTAGAGGTTTCAGATGATGTTGAATAAAATGAGAACATCAAATCAAAAATCTAAATTTTATCGAGTGCTTCGATATTTTGATGGGCTCATGGACGCTCTCTTAATTATCAATAGGCAGTTCTTAGCATGAGATTAGTTTGTTATTATTTTTGCAAGGTGTCGTGATGACATCATCAGATCAACGATTTCACGAGCGAATAATTCTCAAGAAATCAATCACCAATATACGAATGTTGAGTTGCGCTTTTTTCATTTAGTTTTAGTTTTGTTGTTTTCATTTGTGCTTCAATGATTTCATTAGATATAATGAACCACTATGAATACAAAGCTCGATCATATTGTGCGGTTTTAGACTTCTGATCTATGAATCAATTTTAATAACATCAGTTTCTTAGAATCCAATTTTTGGAAATACACAAAAACCTCAGATTTATGTAGTAACTTTTGTGCAAATTAATCGATCGTGATCAGAAAGTGTTAACCACTGTAGCACCCGCTATTAATTAAATAATGGCGAAAAACTCTACCTACATATGTATGAAAATATCTGTTGCTAAAAGTGATATGCGAAGCACTAAATAACATAATTTTGAGTGTGAGAGTAAAGACGCAAAAAATGCATCCATATCGAAAACCTACACTTGCAAGCTACATACGGCACTAAGCCTCGTAATCTATCAAAGTTGCAATAATATCCATGAACAGATAAAAGACGGATACGAGCATGTCTTCTCCATGTCAACACTTTTCTACCCGCCTATTTGAGCTACTATGTTCTCCTTGTCTATCCATTTTTGTCTTGAAAAAGTTGTTTTAAAATAATTTCTAATACTGTACATTGTACTATCCCTAACATTGTCGGCTTTTCTAATATTGTGTTGTTATTTATCAAAATTACACGGAATTAAAATGATAACACAGAAATAACAATCGTATTCATCTCAACGTAGCTCGAAGTTCCTTCAAGTAGTGCAAAGTAATCTGAAGTACTTCAAAGTAGCTGAAAGTACTACTCAAGTAGTTTAAAGTCGCCTCGAAGTAATTTCAAGTACAAAAGTCTGCCTTTTCCCCTTGCCCACACCCTTCTAAGTCCTTACCAGCTACTTAGAATTCGACTCTTTCAGCTGCCATAGGCGACTTGGAAGAGGTTTTACTATTGTTTTAATTGCTGATAAGCGCTTAAATACGTTCGAAGCACTTTTAAATGGCATATGATGTTGCTTACAAGCGCTTTTTAAGCGAAAATATAAGGTATTTTAAGCTAGCTTTATCGCTTAAATTTTCACATGGGAAATGCACAGTGGATATTCTCCACAAGTACTTTATACGAAATCTAACATGTAACTCATTTGACATTTTCGACGAAAACGTGTTTCTTATATACACTCATAGTATGAAAAACACTGCAGTGATTGTCTAGTGGACATAGTTTTACTTTTTAGTACTTTTAAAAGTAATAAAAAGTACCTTTAATATTGTATGAAATAGAAAAGTACTATTAAGTAATTTTCGAAGTGGAAAAAGTATCAACAAATATTTTTAAAAGTGACAAATGGTAGAAAAAGTTACTTTTTTTCTACTTTTTTTGCATGGATAGAACCAAATGCTCTCAAGCAATGTGAAATAACTAAATTTCCAGCACCTGGGTTGGTTTTCACTGAAAGTATACTTACAAAATCGATTTTTTGACTTTTTCTGTTAAGAAAGTTGAAGTAGATACTTCTGAAAAACTGTTATTTTCTTGTAGTGTTTGCTATAGATTGAAGGTTGCCATTCTGATCAGAGCTTTAGATAACTTTTCTATGTGTAGGAGTCAAAATAGGTTGATAAATCAGTTTCTAATCTTTCCACATATATTAACTTAGATTTGTTGGAAGTGCCGATTTCGTTCATATATATATATACAAGATAGTCAATAAGTAACTTGCCTATTTAAAAGTCAAATATTTCCATTGTACTTTAATATATTGGACGTATTTTTCTAATCTTCATTGACTTTAATCAGCAAATGTTACTTTAGAGGTATTTCGAAATGAATTATATATGAGTATTCCATATTCAAACTGCAAAGAGGCTTTCCGTTGTCTAAAATGAATTAAAATGGAAATATTTTCCTCTGACTTCGATTAGAACTAGTTGAAGTAAATATGAAGTCTTTTATCAAGGAGAATTTTGTCTGTGAAAGTAACTATTAGAACTCGATGTATTCAATAATTTGCATAACTCATATTAAATTTCATTTTGTATTGAGTTCCATGATAATAGCTTAATGAAATATTTGTTATGTGCTATTTCTATGAAAAAAACATTTGACCACACTTATATCAACGAGAAGAGAAACTAGCCAATTGATTCAGACAGAGTAGACATCCTGTATGTATTAGTGTACAAAACTATCGCTTTCGAGATATTTCAGTACAATCAACAGTAGATCTAACTAAAACTTGTATGGGAACATATTATGAAGAGATTTTTCAAAAGATAAACCCGAAACCGTATATATCGTTGTTTTTGGTTGTGGCTCCTAACTCTAAGTGTTCAACTTCTATTGCAATTAGTTTCTCAATGTATTCTCTACTATTTCTATTTAGACGTTTCTCAACAAACTTCATATGATGACTTACTTGAAATTTATATACATGCATTTCTATCTGCTCCGAACTATCACAATTCTATTTGTTAAGTTACGAGTGAACCAAGAAAGCTTTGAATTACTCCTTTCACAACATATCTCTAAACAGCATTAATGCCCATGAAATAATGAGTTTACGAGAAATCAAAGAGCTTAAATACTTTTTTACTGTCGTTGGATCAATTGATACTGTGATTTCAACAGCTATTCCTCTAGCACCAAAAGAATCCACCGTTATGTATTATAGTAATAGTAATATCAATATTGGCAACACACGCAAGGCATATGCAGGACTAGTGTTAGATTTAGACAAAGGCATGGATTTAATGCTCGCATCACCTTCACAATATGACAAGACATTATGCAGAAAATCAGAATATACAATCAAATTTTTCAAGACGTACAGTCGAGAACGTTGTCATTGTGCAAATGATCAACCATATTTGCAGTATTGTGATGATGGTACTGTTTTCGATCCTCGTTACAGAAGTTGTAATAAATTTCTGATCGATATTTTCTCAAGAAACAGCCATATCAGCATGTTAGGGTAAAATGCAGAATGGTTGCTTTGTCCTTCAAACTTATTCAATTGAAGTAAGGGCGCTCGCGATATGCATGTGATTAAATAAACGATAGGGTGTGCGTTAAACGCATTTCTAACTCGTACAAGACTTATGTCAACATGTATGTGTATGTAATAAAGGTCAAGTTTTCACTTCAACAAAGTGCGACTCATGGAATAGTCAACTCGATGTGCTTGTAGAGACATATATGGTTCAAGTTATCATCTAATTGAATACGTGTCCCTTCTTTGAAGAATTGTACCACTTTTTTGCTCTTACATAACGAAAGAATTGAGAGGAGACTCTTTTTATTTGTCAAGTGAAATCTGGCAATGAAAGATGCATCGAGTTGGCACTTCTTTGAACCATATATGTTCGAAG